CTTTTCACTTCTTGTCGTGCAAAATGCGAAAAGGCATTTGAACCAATAAGAGGGGGATCTGTAACACTAGTCAAAGGATGACAAAAAAGAAGAGATGCTGCGCTAATAGCCCTACTTTGTTTATTTCATATAAAATCGCGGCATTTTGCGTTATATAATTGCATAGGTTTGAGATCGCTATTACGACTGCGATATAATTAATCGTGCAGCACTAATGCTTAGTGTATTCTAAAGGGCAATTAAACTCCACTCCAGCAAGATAGTCATTTTATGCAAATCATAGACCTTTATGCCTTATCTACAAATAAAGTATAATATTGGGAACATTGATCTTGAAGAGAGTGTCGTCGTGTTACTGTCGCAAACGAACGCGACGCGCTAATGCTGATGCATGGAGAATGTCGGACGTCACTTATAGGCTAAACTGTTTTTATAGATAAAACTATTTACATTCGGCAGTCATGAAAACAAATCTCAGATAACGGTGACTAGGTAACAATGTGTAATTTTGCGCCGGAGTTCTCCTTTAACTTACATTAGCTAGCTAACTACGAACGAGCTAACCAGATAACATTAACAAATTGACAAGCACTTACTGGGCAGAATATGGCTCTTCAAATGACGGACGAAATTGGAGGTTGTCATCTGACTGTCCGCGATCTTAACGTTGCATGTCTTGCAAAGCGCTGTTCTTTTGCCATCTTGTTGTAAGAAATTCTTGAATCCAAAAGCGACGACGACCCTCGTTATCCCTCCGGCTGACATGTTGATGTGATCTGATGTAAGTGGGCGTGGTGTGCGCGTAAGGTATGAGAGGGCATGACTGAAGATCTCTGATCCAGTCATGACAGCGCTATTCTCAGCCTGCGCTCCAGCTGGATCAACTTTATTTTTTTTTACATAATTTATATATTTTATATTCAAACTGAAAACATGATGTGATTAACACTCAAGTCATATTATTACATGCAAGTGTGTTTGATTTATGGACCAAATTTTCAGATCAAGTTTATGGACCAAGTTAATTTAATTAATAAACTAATTATATAAAACTATTAATGCACTACAATTAAACTGGTTATATGCCTTTACTTATAAAAAATAAAAAACTTATTTAAAAAAATACCAGGCTTAAGGCATTTATTTTTTATGCAGGCCATACACACAGGAGTGAAATGGTTAAGTCCCCTACACCCCTACCTACAACACACACACATACACAGACAGGCAAAGACAGAGATGTAGGCTCAGATTAAGCAAGACCACATTCAAACAAACATATCTGACTTTCTGTGGGTCCTAGCTAATGAGTGTCAATTAGAAAGTTGTCCGGCTCGAGGAGTACAATATACATACGATTTTTGTAACTGTAGATAAAACTAACAACCCTACTTTTGTCAAAAGTGGCGCTACTGAGCCCTCACCACGCCCGTTTCTGAAACATTGCACGTGTCTACTGGCTAATAAATGTGATGTGTCTGTCGAGTTTCATGCATTTTGAAGCATGCTAAGGGTCTCAAAAGCATCCTAAAAGCATCCTAAAAGAAGGGTAAAGTTTGATGCGTCGCCACGGCAACAGTTTCAAAGATATCAAGAATCCATTCACAGGTCTACATCTGCCGTATGTTTACATTATACATATGAAGTTTGAAGCAAATCGGGTAAAAATAAAAGGGTGATATCAAAGCATTTTGAAAGTGACACACTTCCTGCTGCCAGTTGGTGGCGCTATAACTTTGACTCACAATAGTCACATCCATGTGATCGTCCTCTTACAGCGAACATACTGCTGAAGTTTCATCAAGATCAGTTAATGTATGCTGAAGTTATAACAAACTTCCTGTTTCACGTTTCTCGCCATGATTTCGTTTCCTCGCCACGGCCAAACCGTCGTTCGAGATATCAAAAATCCCCACACAAGCTTTCATCCTCAATGTCTTCACTTTACGCTGACCGAGTATCGTCGAATTTGGATCAAAGCTCTAGGAGGAGTATTTCAAATAACATTGCGAGCGTTTTACAAACAAACCTCAATAGCCGACTTCCTGTTGGGCTGGGGTAAAAAGTAAAAGCGCGAGGTATAGATGAAACGATGAGATCAACATGCGTACCGAGTTTCATATTATTACATGCAAGCGTGTTTGAGTTATGGACCAAGTGTTCGGACCCCATTCCAGGGGCGCTGACGAGCCCCCCTGCCACGCCCGGGTACCATCTTCAGCCCGGCTCTGATGGCCGCGGGTTCTGACCCGTGTGCAAAGTTTCAAGAGTTTCGAGCATGTTAAGGCCCCAAAAGTGCCCGAATAGTCGTAAGAAAAATAATAATAATAATAATAATAATAGAAAAGAATAATCCTAAGGAAAACAATAGGGCCTTCGCCCTTTCAGGGCTTGGCCCTAATAATAATAATCCTAAGGAAAACAATAGGGCCTTCGCCCTTCAGGGCTTGGGCCCTAACAATAGGGCCTTCGCCCTTTCAGGGCTTGGGCCCTAATAATAATCGTTAGGAAAACAATAGGGCCTTCGCCCTTTCAGGGCTTGGGCCCTAATAATCCTTAGGAAAACAATAGGGCCTTCGCCCTTTCAGGGCTTGGGCCCTAATAATAATAATCGTTAGGAAAACAATAGGGCCTTCGCCCTTTCAGGGCTTGGCCCTAATAATCGTTAGGAAAACAATAGGGCCTTCGCCCTTTCAGGGCTTGGGCCCTAATAATCGTTAGGAAAACAATAGGGCCTTCGCCCTTTCAGGGCTTGGGCCCTAATAACCCTAACAGTTTCAATAGGGTCCTCGCACTGTTAGTGCTCGGGCCCTAAAAATAATCCCAACAGTTTCAATAGGGTCCTCGCACTGTTAGTGCTCGGGCCCTAAAAATAACCCTAACAGTTTCAATAGGGTCCTCGCACTGTTAGTGCTCGGGCCCTAAAAATGTAACATGAGCAAAACGAATACCATAAACTAAAAATGCCTGGGCTTTAATTTTCCCATATCGTCGAAATGCACCGGCTTGTCTATGAGACGGCCTTAATAATTTAGCATTGAGATGTTGTTCATTTAGTCTCTAATCTCTGAAAATCTCCAAATGATCCACATGAAACTGCGGTCTTCCAACCTTTTACTATTAGTTTTACTGACTAATATGCGCGTGGGAGATGCGCTCTCCCGTGTTGTTTGAAGACATGAGTGCGCGCGGCCGCGGAGGTATTTCTGGAGGTATACTACCCCCATCTGGTATGGAATATGGTGTATGATTCGATTTTTTTATCCCAGAGGGCACCTTTAACTCATTTAATTTATTTTATAAGCTTTATTTGTCATCAATGCTATTTCTTTAAACTCTTCTCTCCCACAGACATCACTGATCCATTCAAAAATCATATCTGTGTCAGACCTCTTCATGTTCATAATTTCAGCGTTCTGTGGATATCCTCAATACTAAAAACTTTCCTTGAAAACATTCCAGTTACTCAAAAGCAGATTGAGGCGTCATAAACATACATCATAAAAAAACCCTGGAACCAAGCAGGGCGAAAAGTAGAGGTGGGCAGATCGATACTAATATCGATAATATCGATACCAACGTTGGTATCGGTATTGATCGATACCAACGCGAAAATATCGATACTTAAGTTTCAGTTTCTCTCGTTTTGCGACCTGACCGTGTTTGTCAAAGTGCTGCTGCTGTCACAGAGCAGATCATGCTCTTTGTAATATTAGTGCTGCTCTCGTCCCCCTCTCCTGTGTTGTACCGTCACATGACTCACCACTAGCTAGCGCGCTCCAGGACTACCACCAGTCAGGCACGCGCGGCCGCGCATTTCTAGTCTACAGCAGCACAATCAGAGACGGAGAACTTGTGACTTTGTTTATTTAAGAAAAAAATCCTGAATAGAAGTGCACTAAAGAAGAGAAACATTTTTTGTTTACATGCTACTTGAAAAGAGAATTTGTTTTTACATTTTTTATATTTGTGAAGTAATAATTTTGTAACTGTTTAAATAAAATAGAAGTAACCAAAAGTTGTTTCTGAACAAAAGCTTTTGTAGTACTGATTTTAACTGATTAATAACCCAAAATGCAAATCACAAAAACAAATTAAAAGTCATGAAAATTCATTTAGATTTAGGTTGAAGAGGCATCCACCTTAAAGTCCCCGTGAAATCAAAATTGAACCTATTTACTTTGTTAGCGCATATTACTAGTCTTGTGGTGAACAATTAATCCGTGCAAGTAAAAATATATTAAAAGAATTTTTACCTTCTTTAATCAAAATCTGAAAAGTTACTTCCGGTCTGGAACGGTTTCTTTTTCTGATGACGTAGGTTTCACAGCTTGGGTGGGGAAACGCTTAACCACTCCCCTCAAACCGAGAGGAGGAGCGCTAGAGTAAAACAACTTCCGGTTCACAGGGACTTTAATTATTAAAAAGTATCGGTATTGGTATTGGTATCGGTATCGGCGAGACTGGCCCGGTATTTACTTGGTATCGGATCGATACCAAATCTAGCGGTATCGCACACCTCTAGCGAAAAGGTCATAAAACCCCATATATTGCATATCCTGTCATAAACATCTGTGAAAACCATAAATCATTTTAACATAAGCTACATTATAATTACTACTATTAATGATTGTTGCGATGGAGGTGAGTCAATCAGAACTGACTTTGGCTGGAAAATAACTTTATTCTAGAGCTGCCATAAAGCCAAAACAATCTCTATTACTTTACTTTTCTATTATCACTGTAAAGAAGCTTTGGAACAATCTACATTGTTAAAAGCGCTATATAAATGAATATGACTTGACTTGACTTAACTGAAATAATTAACAGATAAACTAAACATAGACAGATAAACTAAACAGATAAACTAAACTGACAATGTCATGTCATTTATTTTAAACTGTCTTTTAGGGTTAAACTCTTAAAAAAAATTACACATCTGGCAATTATTATTATTATGATTATTTTTTTAATTTGTTTTATTCTTTTTTCTTCCCCAGAGTTTTCTCTTGTTTGCCTGTCCGATGAAGTGTCTGCTAATCCTGGGGATAACGTTGTTTTGTCATGTCAGCTTGAACCAGCCATCAGTGCTGCTTCCATGAAAATTAAATGGTGGCATTTGAATAATTTGGTGTGCCGTTATGAGAATGGTCAGCTGAAAATCGAGAGAGCCTTTGTGGGAAGAGTGCATTTTCCTCTGGATTTAGAAAGAGGAAAACTGTCTTTGAAAATCTGTGAGGTCAGAAAATCACAGAGGGGCGAATACACATGTGAGGTTATCCATGGACAGCAAGTAAAAAAAGAGCATATCTATCTACATGTCAAATGTTAGTATTCTGTTCAAGTTCTGATAGTATTTGTTATTGCTTTCTATCATGGTCAAAATCAAACATTTTTTTGTGGAACAGTAGCATAACTAGGGTGGCATGGGCTTGGGCCCTAGTGCAAAAATGTTGCAAGTGATGTCTTTGCCATCTGACTGGGTGGGTTCCCCCTCCCATTGCGCATACCCTGCACCCCTAGTAGTTATGCCATTGAAGAGAACCCATATTAGCCAAAGCAACCAAAGAGTTTTATCAAATTTGAAAATGCTGTACAGCGAAATTACTTAAAATGGGCAACCGTTCTCTGTTGATTTTGTTTTCCCATCATACATTTGCATCATTCAAATCAACACAAGTATTTCTATACTTATTTTAGGTAATGGGAAAATTCTTGTTTTTGACAATAACTGTCTTTGTCTCTCCAGCTGTAAACTTCAGACTTGTGGTTCCCAATCATACCGTGAATGCTTACCAAGGGGAAGATGTCACCCTGCATGTTCAGTTCTTTCCTACAATCAGTGCTGCATCTCTGATAATCAATTGGCTTAAAGAGAGGCTGTTCATTTATGAGTATGTGAATGGGAAGGAAATAAGACATAGACACTATGAAGACAGAGTAGGCCTGAACAACCAGGAGCTGGACAGTGGAAACATTTTTCTGACTCTGAAAAATGTAAGATTGTCAGATTCAGGAAACTACACCTGCCAAGTTAAATATGAAGAATATGTAATGGACAAAAAAATTGAACTACATGTGAGAGGTAAGAGAAATCTACAAAAGTGCATTTCTACATTGGTGTATGTTTTTCTCATACCTTATTTCAGTAGATCATCATTGCTAAGGCCAAGCATCCTTCTCCGAAGATCAGTAGCTCATAGAAACACTCTCTGAAAGACCGCTGAGCAAAAACTGTTGAACCGCTTGGCTCCTGTTACGGAAGTAGACACTGAAGAGAAAGATGGAGGTTTAATAGTGTGGTTTATTGACAGCAGTGGGCAGTGATGAAGTGAGCAGGAAAGTGAGAGTCCACAGGATTATCTTGAGGGAGACACAGAGAAATGGAAGACACTGGAGACAGATATATGGAGACAGATGGCTGGAGATAGGGAGGTAGCTCGAGGCAGGGTGTGAGAAGTCCACTTCAAACAAACGAGATCAGACCATGACCACCAAGATCAGAGATGTAAGTGAATTTATAGTGGCGGTGATGTTGAGGTGCAGGTGTGAATGATAGGGAATGACGTGCAAGTGGGATCCAAGGAGTGTAATGGGAGATGTAGTGCAAATATGTGACTGTAGCAGTGCTGGTTTAGGCGGGTAGAGGGAAGAGCCATTCAGGCGGCCAGGGCAGAGCCGGCAGCTGTGGAGACAAAGGCGGAGCCGGCCATCTTGAGACGAGGCTCTGGAATGGAGGCGACGATTTTGGGACGACACTCTGGAATGGCGGCCATGACAGGATTGGGAGCACTTCGACTCGGTGCATTTATAATAGACAGTATAAGAAGTGGACAGAGCCATCTCATTGGAACTCAATTGAGACAAGTGAAGCGCATTTTTATCGATTTTTTTTTTTTAGGACTTCCATTCCTGACGCGCAGACTCAAACCGACTCAAACAGAGCTTGACGACTTAGATGTGACGTGAGCAACCCGTCTGTCTTCTAGTGTCTGTGGCATGAGAAATCTGAATCATTCCCTTCTGAAACTCACAGAGGTGGAGAGTGTGAATAGGAGCTGTCCATGAGCTAGGAGCAGGAGAAACTTTTGCTAGGTATTCTGATTAATTATTTTGTCATTTTGCCTCCACGTTTCCCCGATTGCCTGCAAGCTTCTCCTCCTGTCCATACGGTAATCTCTCTACTGTGTGACAAAGAGTCGCGTGGTTATGACGCAATCGTTAGCCTGCTTTTACAAAAAAAAAAAAAACTGCTTCTACAGGGCCATAACATAAGCTACAAGGTAATGGAGCATTTTATACATTGTCATGTTTCTTTAGAAATAAATAATGGACAAATGGGTTCTTCAAACACCTCAGATGTAAAGTTATTCGCTGTCAAAGTGACACCAAAATGAATAAGAGTCAATGGAAATGCTAACTCAAGTGAAGTTCTGCTACAAGATGGCGGCAGCCGGCCGGCTTCAACTTCCAGTCGATGGATTACCCCTTTGGCATATATATCTATGGATTAGGCGCAGTAATATCATCACTCCGGAGAGTGACAGGGGGGAGAGGACTTTTCACGAGTGATGATATTACTGCGCGGAGTCCATAGATGTATATACACCGAGTCGGAAGTGCTCCCAATTCTGTCATGGCCGCCATTCCAGAGTGTCGTCCCAAAATCGCCGCCTCCATTCCAGAGCCTCGTCTAAAGATGGCCGCACCGCCCTTGTCTCCACAGCTGCTGGCTCCCAAGCACTTGCTGTAGTATTCCGCCATACATTATAGTTATCCACTTTACACGCTTAGAAAAGCGCAACATTTTATTTTTTGTCACCATTCTTGGTCGAATTACACTACTCGTGTAACTGTATTTAAATGGTGAAAACGTGGATATGTTTGATCGCTTCTCTGTTTGGCCCGTATTGAATGAACTGGGCTAGTTAAGTGCGATCAAAGTGTCTCACTCGCCAGAGCGATTGAGTGCACGCACTGAGACGAGAGAGGTATGTTTCAACTCGTTTTAGTTAAGGAAATAACATAGTTTAATATGAAAAACTGGTGGAGTATCCCTTTAAGCTTGGTTCAGGGATCAGTCATAGAATGTTCTTGAGTGGCCTGTACAGTCTTCAAAATTAAGCCCCAGTCCACAGTGAGACGCGTAAAGCTGAATAATGGCCTTCACTCAAATTACAATCAAACATTAAATTTCTCTGTAATGTACTGTATGCCTACGTGTTGTAGCCATTAAAGAAAATGTATTTAGTTTCATATTTATGTTTAAATAATATTTTTTAATTTCATCTATGTTGATTATGTTGAAAAGTGAACAGCATGAGGAATCATAAGATGCGCAATATATTGGGTGACCTAATTTTGACCACATTAAGTTCCCTTTCGAACGGTTACTTCGTATTGTGTAGCTATGCGCAGTGGGGAAACTCCTTTTCCTCGATTTACTGAAGCCTATTGTAAAACACAGCTGCACAGCCAGCACACTGAGCATCAGACGCGCTCATAGGCTGTGCTGCAGCAACTGCACATCCTATGGCGTGGGCGACTCTGACGTGCGACCAATGAGCCAGCCTTACATCAGAGCCCACCAAAGGGGGCGTGATCGAGTCTATATAGACTTCCAAATTCGCCATTATAGCAGATTTTACTCCGTCAGCGACAGTTCACATGTCCCTGAGCTTTTTGCTGGATTCGCCATAGAAACAAGCCCTTCAGCTGAGCGAGCCTCTTTCAGCAGATTTCGTCGTCATCCATGGTCTCTTGACGCCGTCTCACCTGTGGCTATCCGACCATATATCCTATATATGTATTCTTTTCACAGCAAACTTATATTTTCACAGATGCCTTATTCCTGCGCCACGTGCGGAGGCCCGCTGCACGAGGCAGATCAACACACAAGCTGCATTGCCTCACTGGGAATTGACCATGCTGAAAATGCTCTTGCTGCTGGCGGATGTGCGGCCTGCGAAAGCATGCCTAACTCCGCAATCAGCTAGCTCTATCTTGGGACGGCGATGCCGCTTTAACGACACTCTCCGCTCCTAGGAAGAAGAAACGTTGCAGCCAATGGCAACCAGAGGGCCTGGATGTTAGTGAATGCACGCCGGCCCTGTGAAAGAAAATGAAGCCCTTTGGGCTTCATTTTCTCCTGCCCGGACGCCATCACTGGTCCTGTTGGCTGGAGACCAGTGCACCCCCTCCCAAGTGGTGGGTCTCATCTCCTTCGGAGGATTGCTAAGGCCGTCGCGGTCCTCGAGCTAGAGTGGACCAAGCCCGAGGAGCCTCCTCGTAGTCGGTTGGATGGATGGTTCCTGTCGTCACAAACCGGCGCCATTTTTCCCCGATGTCCACGAGGAGCTCACCAAGGCGTGATGTGTGGGATCTTCACTTTTTGCGATGCTCTCCTCTGTGGTTGGCGCAGTGGAAAAGGGCTATGATTCTTTGCCGCCCCTCGAAGAGGCTGTGGCTGCTCATCTTTGCCTGAGCACTGCTGCTAGCTGGCGATCTAGGGAGGCTCATCCTAACAAGGCCTGCCGTAACACCTCAGCCCTCGCTTGACACGCATATTCCGCTTCTGGTCAGGAGGCATCAGCCCTACACATGATGGCCGTGCTGAAGGTCTACCAGGCCAAACTCCTTCGATCCATGGACGAGGCTGGCCCAGACCCGGAGGCTTTTCGAGACCTGAGAAGTAGTACAGACTTACTAAGGCTACAGCCAGGCCATCAGGAGGAATATGGCTAGTTTGGTTGTGCTCGAACGTCATCTTCACCTCACCGAGATTAAAGACGCCGATAAAACGAGGTTCCTCGGCGCCCCTGTTTCTAGCTCCGGCCTCTTCGGCTCAGCAGTGAAGGGATTCTCAGAGAGATATACAGAGGCACAGAAAGCATCCCAGGCTATGTGTCACTTCTTGCCCAAAAGATCGAGCTCAGCGACCAGCAAGCTGAAAACGCCGCCTTCGCCTCACACTGCTAAGCCTGCGAAACAGGCCTCTCAGCCCCACCCTGTACCGCTGATAGCCACCGCCAGTCAAGGGCCGCGAAGCGCTACCCAAACCCCCCGCGTCTAGGCCCTCGACCTAGCGTCGTGATCGGCCAGGCCCCACCGAAGTCATCCTAGCACGAGGTGGAAAGAGAGAGGGCTCGTGTCTCGCACTAGCTGGACCACCAGCATGTTTCACAATCACAACACATGGGTTCACGGTCCCCCTAACTAGGTGGCCCCCTCCCTGTTGTAACACTGACTTCCCCCTGGACAAAAGCCTGTATGGCCAGTCAAACATTCAGAATGTGCAACAAATTACATTATAAGGGTTAGGGATGCACCGATCCACATTTTTTCACTTCCGATCCGATCCCGATACCTGACTTTGGATATCGGCCGATACCGATACTTTTCCGATACCAGAGCTGTGTTTGCTTTAATAGTATTTATCATTATTGTTGATTTTATATGATGCTGAAATAAACTCCTCTCTACAGGCAAGGATGATATGTACGTATGTATGTCAATATATATATATATATATATTAAACAATAGATAGACAATTAAACAAAGATACACATTATACAGGCCTACACAGTGCTTTAATTTCAGGAAGGTCTACAAACATTATTCAGGTATGGTCTTAAAAAGAATTATAATAAAGTAATCAAAAGTAAAATAGCACTGCAAAGTTTATCATAGATAGATTTATGCTTATTAAAGCTGAAGTAATTCATTCCAGAGCTGTGAGTGATTTTCTCTTTGCCTTTGGTTGTTTGATTCTCAGTAATGTCGCAATCGTCACATTTATACTGCTGCCCCTTTAAGAACGAGTTCAGATTTCATAGTCTACTGATGCACCATATTTTCTCCCAAATATTTCCATAACTACGTTCATTTTAGACATAATAAATTGTTTAAGTGTTAATCTCCAAGTCGGTCGGTTTGACATTTTTGTGCAGGCTACATTTGATCGTTTAGACGCGCATATGAAGCCCAGAGTATAATTTGCTTGTCTTGTTGCGGTCTGTTTCGGAGCGCGCCGCACTGGGAACAGCATCTCTTGCGCAAATTTTGTGCTTTTAATAGCTCTTTTT